TTTAATTTCAATGAGCACATCATATTGTAGGAAATTGCTTATGAGAAAACCAGGAGGCTGCCTAAGGGTTGGAGGTCACTGAGGACAGGACTGAGGGAAGACAGCTGATGGAGCAGGTAGGAGGAGAGCAAACATGACTTTTGTCTGATGCATTGGACCAAATTTCAACAGTGACTCGATTGTTATTCCCACTTTAATGATAAGGAAACTGAGGTTGAGAGAAATGGACTCACACTCACGATCTTTCTCATTTTTTTCTGTGCTATTCTCTTTGAGAATAATCATTTTAACATTTTTATGTAAAAGCAGGATATAAAATTACAGATACTATGTATATCTACCATAATATAAAAAAAGAGCAATGCAAGTATCAGAAAAATAATATAACTGAATACTAATAAATTGTGGTTTTAAGAGATGGGGTAAAGGATATTTTCTTATTCCTAGTTTTCTATGTTTTTGGTGGTGTTGTTTTTTTTTTCATAAGACACTTGATTGCTTTTATGTTGTCATTGTGGTAACAATGGAAACAGCAACAAAAGGCATATATTGCTTTAAAAAAAACTGCTTTTGTTTCTTGGATACCAACATTGTTCTAATAAAATAGAAGGCATTTAAGAAATTTATGGACACAAAAACTGTTTGGTATTTTATAGACTTGTTTAGTCACATAAAACCCATAATGAAAATTTGGCCATAAAGTGCTAAAGCTTTCTATTTGGGTTGTGTTACCGTTCCCCCACCAGCTATGCTCACAGAGAAGAAAACTACAGTGACTCAACTAAAATTAAAGCTGGTGGCGTGATCACCAAAGTATTGTGCAGTCCGCTCTATCCTGTGGAAAGCGACTGTTTGAATGGATTGTGTTTATCCATATGATAGCCCATGTTTTTGTTACCTCCAGGATGCCAAAAGTTCCAATCAATTCCTTTGAAATGTACAGTCAATAATAGAGCTATTTTACCTACACAATGCCGAACACCTGACTGGACTGAACGGGGAGAATATTTTCCCATTGTGTAGAGACAGCTGAAATGTGACAAACTGATCATTTAAACTGTGTCTCCTCAATATCAAAACAACTACTTGCAAGCAAAAGATGTAGTCAATCGGGGAATTCTCTTGTCTATGCAATTCCAAGCCATTAGTTTGAACAGTTTACTTCATTGGATTTACCAAATATTTATTTAGTTTCCTAAAATGTAATTAAATCTCTGAGTAATAGGAGCAAGAAAGAATCTGGCCTGGGTTACATCTGCATAGAGGATGTAAGTTGAAAACAAACAAACAAACAAACAAACAAACAAAAAACACATTTGTCTCTTACAGTTTGTCCCTTTTTACTGTAGTTCTTTTAGGCTAAGCATAGTTGACTTTAATAACTTGGTTAAAAAGACCTGGCTTGGACATATATTTATTAAAACTTGCCTGAAAGAAAAAAAGATGCAGAGAAAATATTAAAAGAGAAGTCCATGGGTAATAGAAGGTGGAGGTTTGAACTTTCAAAGATTTAAGAAAATCATTACTTCAGAAGAGGTAAAGGCCAGATAAAGGCTCATTGGTTGTGGACAAAACCTCAAGGCACTTGTTCCCATTTATCCGGGGCACCACCGTTGTTCCAGACTCAGAACACTGGTCCACGTGGAACTGTCCTCTCTGCATTGCTTGTATCTAATATGTACACATCTCACCCTTTCTTTCTTTGAAACATCTCCCCAGTTCATTCCTTCCTTTACATTTTTCTGATAGAGGGTTTTACAACCTCACTCCTGGGTCACCAGCTTTCTGAGTAGTCTTTCTGCCCCCATCTCTTGCCCTCCAAACCTGCCTTCTCCCTCCTCCACAGCTATTCCTGTCACCACCCTCAACCCCATTTTCCTCCTGCTGCTCCTGCTCACCACTCTCATTTTATTGCCTCTGCACTAAGTTCAATCTCCCCTCTCTGCCTGATCCTTGAAATCCTCCAAAGCCCTCGCCCCCTTCTTTCTCTTACCTATTGATCCCATCTTTCTCTTTGCTACTCGCCCCAATACATCATTCATTTTGCTCCTCAAAGTCCTTCCGTCCTGTAAAAACCCCACCCTAGGTCTCCTCCTTGTCTCCTCTTCGAACCCATGCCCTTCTCATCCCAGCCATATCCTTTCTGTGTGGAGTGCTGTCCCCCTCCTGATGTTCACTTTCAAAAGTATCCCCACCTTTCTAGAGCCTTCTCAAATGCCACCTCTTCTGTGAGGTCTTCTCTGATGTCGCTTGCTTCATAATTTCCTTCCTTTTCTCTGAACTCCCAGCCCCTCTATAATTAGGGCTAAATGACAGGATACAGTACTTAAATACGACTCTTTTGATTCATATGTCATCCCATAATTCTTTCAGAGCGCGCTATTGGCGTTTGTAACAAGGCCCTTCCTTGCACAGGATTGTCTTGCACGTTCCAGCACGTTTGGCATCCCTGGCTCCAGATGCTAGCTGACGGTGATGTTATTGTAACAACCCTATTTGCTCAATACGTTTCCAAATGCCCTAATTATTAAAAGTCTCCTTAAAGAAGTGACTGTATGATATACACATTTGTTTAAAAATAATCTGTTTAAATACAAATGTATGTTTTTAAGAATAAATTTATATTTCTTTTTTTTTTAATTGTTGACTCTATTACAGATTTACTCTATATCCCCCCTTTTCCCCCCCCCCCCCTTCCATGCTGCTTCCACCTCTTCCCCATCCCAGGCTTTCACCACATTACTGTCTGTGCCCATGGACTATTCTATATGTAAATTCTTTGGTTGATCTCTTCCCATCCTCCCCACCTCATCCCCTCTGAGAACTGTCAGTCTGTTCATTTATCCACGCCATTTATTTGTTATCTGTTCATTTATTTGTCAGCTTATTTTGTCCTTTAGATTCCACATGTGACAGCTATTAAGAAAAAATACAGCCAGTCAGAGAAAGACAAATATCATGTAATATTTGTCTTTCTCTGACTGGCTGTAGTTTCCTTAATAACTGTCAGCATGCTAGAAAATTATGAAGGAGGTTAATTAACACCCAGATGTTAATTACAATGACATTTTAGGTGTCTTTCGTAAGATAGACAGCCCTGGATGTTGGTTTGCCCTGAGTCTCAGAGATTTCTGCTTCTCCGAGATCACACAACTTGATTGGAACCCTGGCCTTTAAACTCAGGATTGTATGGAGCCAAAATGTTGCCTTTTTCTTCTGCCACACGGCCTCTGTAAAGACAGCCTATCTGTAACAGCTCTGAAATAAGAGTGTGCATATGTAACAGAATTAACAACCTAAAGCACATTATTAATGCTGTTCGGTACTAATGACTGTAATTGAAAGGAAGGAAATATTAGACCAGACAAGCAATATTTCAGATCTTATAACAAGAATATCAATTGGCATCTAATGAATAAATTTCCTCACTGACCTTCTTTGCTACAGACATTAGCCCACGTTTGGTCTCTAATTGAGATGTACATATGCTTTACTATCTTATTGTATCTTTTAATGTTTGTCTTGGCAGATGGTCAGCGGTTCTCTCTGAATTTCCCTTAATCAAGTTTTGGGTACTAGATGGCCAAATATGCCTTGTATTAGGTAGTACTGCTGAACCAAAGCAATAGGAATCTAAGAGTTGGCAATAGTTGTTCAGGTCTTTTCTTTCTATCATCTAAGTATCTTCAAATATTAAAGTTATATAAATCAAGTACCACATAATCATTAAAAATGCTGTAAATATTTCTTTTCAGTGACAGTTCATTATTAATTTCATGTATACCTAAAACACAGACGTTTACTAGTAGCTTGTTATACTTGTGCCCACATTTCCTATTATAACTCTTCATATATCAGTTAATCTAGAGTTAACATAAATGATCCCTATGAGTACTTTCAAGGTATACTCAGTTTCTATCAATGTACACAGGAAGAATTATATCCTACACACACACACACACACACACACACACACACACACCCTATTTGAAAGAGCCAGAGTAGTTAACTTCAAGTTTTCTTTTTCAGCTGTGAGCAAAAATGTTTACCATGTGTTTATTCTGTTTAGCAAAGAAAGAAAGGAACTTAAAGCCGAGTTCATAAGTAACTTAAAACAGTTGTGTAAATATAGGTAAATATGTATCTGATATAAACGTATTTTTCCAATATTTCTTAGAAACCATATCAATTGTAACTAAAGTTATATTTCATTTGCTAATAAAACTATTATCCAGCTGTAGCCACCTGGGGATTCAGATGATCTGAAAGCATAAAGGGCTTTTTAGTTACGTTTTAGTAGGAAAAATATACATTTTTAAAAATGCAACGGTGTGTGTGTGTGTGTGTGTGTGTGTGTGTGTGTGTGTGTAACCAGTTGAGCTTGGTGTTAGCCTTTTTATCAGAACATTGCCTGAGCAAAGTACATTCTCAGCTTCTGCAGGCCGACACACTTTGTGGGGAGCTGGAGGTGAGGGTGATAGAATCTTTCCCACTGAGACTAAAAGCAAGTCCAGGAGCCCATCTCAGTCCTGTGTCTCAGTCGTGAGCAACAATTAAAGGGTAAAAGTTTCATTATTGCTTTACCTCATCTTTTCTCAAGCTATCTGATCAAATCTTTGCAGTGCAATAGAATTCTTAAAAGACATCCAGCTGCTCCCTACAGAAGCCTGAAAGGGTATAAACATTTTCATACCATTTCCCAGAGAGGCACAAACATTTTAAAGATGGATTTCTGGGGCTTCTGTTTATAGTTCCTTATACTTTAATAACACCAAAGCCGGTACCTGCTGATGTGCTATCAGCATCTCCCCCATCTATTTTTAGATCTTCAGTTGCTTTAGAGATGGATTTAATATGCAAAGCAGGAGCTTACACTGAGAAATGTTTACATGATGGTATTTTGGTTTAGGCATCAGCTAAGGAGGGCAAAGTTGATCCCATCTCACAAGGGACTCTAGCCCACATTTCCTCTGTGGACCTGGATGTCCAGATTTGCTTACCTGTTTTCTTGACGATATGGTGCTGTTGAAACACCTATTGGAGGTCTTCGAATTCAGATTCTTGTTCTGATGAGTTGAGCCATTTTTACAAGTCTTAGAGTTTTCTTTAGGATCCGAAGGGATGGGATTTAAAAAGAGGATCCTAGCTATAAAGCCATAGAGGACAGTGGCCAGGATCATGGGCACACAATAAAAGACAGCAAAGTCCAGCAGGTAAATAGGTGAGTAGTAATTTCTGGAGATCTTGTAGCCGCAGGACACCACGATAGCATCTTTGTAGGTGCTAATGTTGAGATCCAGCAAGAAGAACCAGAGCATGCAGTAAATGGATGTGAATGCCCAGACAAAGATGATGATCTTTTTGGCTCTGGAAAATGTGCAGAGGAACTGGGCTTTGATGGGGTGGCAGATGGCTATGTACCTCTCAATGGTGAAGGCTGTGATCGAACAAGAGGAAGCATTGATGCCCAAGTACTGGAGATAAGTGATGCAGAGGCAGCCGATGTAGCCGTAGACCCAGGAACCGTAGACGCTCTCAGTGATGTTGGGTAGGCCCGCGGCCACCAGGACCATGAGATCGGCCACTGCCAGGCTCACCAGGTAGCAGTTGGTGGGGGTCCTCATGTGCTTGGTTCTCATGACCACGAGGACCACCATGCTGTTGCCCACAATGCCCAGCCCACAGATGATGAGCACAAGTAGGATGGTGACCACTTGGTACTCTAGGGCCATCACAGCTCGTGGCTGGAGCTGGGTCTGGTTCAGGTCGCTTACTGTCTCATTCTCCATCTTCGGTGGCTTATAAGTTTCTCTTGAGACACTTCTCAGAACATTCTCTTTCCAGCGTCCTGCCTTTATCACAGTGTTCCCCTGCCCCTGTGAAGAGGAACAGTCCACAGTCAGTCACAGCCTCGTTCAAATCTAGTGAATTGCCCAGGAACCCTCACCTCCTCTCCTTTCACCTCCCCTCTTGCTGCCAGAACGGGGCTCCTGCGTACTTCTGAAAACTCCTCTAGTGTAGGATGGAGAAACTGTTTTTGAGCAGCTTATGGAAAGAGGGACCAGTTTTATGGAGGAAAAAAAAAATGCTTAAGAAATGAGACACAGAGATAAAGCTCTCTGTTTGGAAAGAGTGCTCAGAGGGAACAACTAAACATGATCTGCTAACTGAAAAACAGGTACCAAGAAACCTCTCAGAGGCTTGGGGAAAGCATAAATAAGAAAAAGGGATGAGGGGGGAGAGACCGGATGGAGGGAGTCAGGGGGCTCACTGATTAAGCCCAGCGGGAAATGAGCATCTGCCTCCTTAGCTCTCAGCGGGTGAGATCCCTTCGCTAGGATCAAAGCAAGCCTTTGAGTCTCCATCTCCTTTGAGCCCCCTGCCCTGCCCACCCAGTAAAAGAGCAATCTCTTACCTTTTCTCCTGTAGCGCTGCTGCCTGCCTCTCTGGGTGGGGGAAGCAGTAAGAAGTCCAAGTTTCCAAACCTGCAGGGATTCTCATCCACTTTGTGTGACTGGGAGCCCACTCAGCAGCGCCCGGTCTGTCTTCAGAACTGCAGTTCCTCCTGAGCCCTCGCAGCCCCGTTCAAGTGCTGACGGACCATGCAGCCGCAGCCAGACAGCAGCAGCAGGAGCAGCGAGGCTGGCAAATCACAGATCGCCCCTAATGAGAACTCTAACTCTCTCTCTCTCTCTCTCTCTCTCTCTCTCTCTCTCTCTCTCTCTCTCACACACACACACACACACACACACACACACACACACTCACACACACACACACACACACACACACACAGATGCCAATCAGTCCTCACTGATTCTTAATCTTCTCCCCCTTGAAGGGTTTACTTTGAACTATGCTGATGTGACACCTCTCAGTCTGGAAGGCTGATCACAAGCGAGGGGTCCAGAGGCAGACAGTCTTCATAGTTGCTTATGGTCTGAGTTCTATGGGCCCCTCAGGACCTGAGCAGCCCCTGAAATAGCTTGACCCACCCTGTTTGGTAGGACTTTGGGAATAGCACATCTTTCTGATCCAGACACAAGCCGTGGAAGCTTGAAAAATCTGAGCTGAAATCAACTTCTTTCTCTACCAGGGAAACCCTTAAGACTGTTTCTCCTGTAAACCAGTAAAAGCGACTCCCTCTTCTCCTGCTATGTGAAAGGAAAAGGAGTTAAAATTTATTTAAAACCATTTCAGCTTCCATCTTCTGGGGCTTATAAATATTACTGTATTAAAAAAAAACAAAAAACTTTGAGCTGAGAACATCCATTTAAACCTGCATTTGATCAACTAAGTTTGTTTTTCAATTCTGCCTCTGCGGCACTTAGTAAAATCTCTCTAATTGCTCTGAGAGTCTTCACCCACCCTCTGGACTGCCAGCCCCATGTGCCACCAGCCATGTTTTCTGTCAATGTATTTGTAGGTGAAAACTTGTCCAGTGGAAATCTAGGCCAGTGCCCCTCTGTGCCATGTGTCGGAAATGAAACTTTATAGACCCATCTTTTTTTTTTTTATCTTAATAAAAGTGCACTTCACTTTGATTTTTATTTCTCTAACGTAGCCTGTGGGCAAATCTTTATACTTTTTTATGGAAGTCCAGGTAAGCTATCTCCCTTCTCCAGGCTCCAACTGAATATGCCAAATGTTAATGCTTGTCCACTTTGGTTTTATTAACTAAGAAAAACAGCGCTTAACTGCATTTCCTGTACACTGAATGGGCTGATACTCTGTTTTTAAGACATTTAGATGATCTTCCTTCTAGAAGATGTTCATGGAAGGATATATTTCTGAGCAGACAAGGCCATGGGGGAATCAAAGCCATGTTCAAGGCCAGGTAACAACAGGATGAAGGGGAAGCTCTGAATCATGTTAAGCAAATTCCACCCTCTGAATGAACAAATAAGGGCCCTCTGAGTATCTCTTTCTCCGTTTAAATCATCTGTAGTTGCGAACTAATAACTCACAATCCAGCTTTCAGATGTGTATTGTTTGGCCTGTAGAGTGGAAGCTCAAGTGTAATTTAAAATAAGTTGGTAATTGTCTACCTTTTGAAATTGAGAAAATTGTATTTTATATCTGGACCTCTGCCTCTCATCAAAATAAGAGAGATCTGGCAACTGTGGGCCCATATTCCTGCATAGAAATTATCATCGGGAGCTGAGCAGTGGTTGTGGGTCGCAGTTTGTGGGGGTTCTTGATATAGGAAGTGCTTCCTATGTTCCTCACTTCACACTAAGTCTCATCTGTCACACAGGCCAGCGTCACTCCGTATCACACTGTAGCCATCTGACTCTCACCCTCTGTTCCTGAGAGAGACGGTGGAGAGTACCAGCCACATCCACATTCTTTCACCCTGAATAGAATTTCAGCCCACATTCTATTGATAGTTTGTTCCCACAACTGGGTTAGCAGACTGGACAATGGATGCACCCTTTACCTCTCTCTCATCTAGAGGATGGAGATTGCTCTGAATGCCCCATGTCTTGACTAGACCTCTCCATTTCAGGATAAAAAATTCTCAGATGAAGGCATGGCCTCCCTACCCCGCCTTAACCCTATCACCTTCAACCCCAAATGCCTCTTGAAGTCACAGTTCAGAAAGCATATCTTGCCCTGCCATTCTCCCTGGGATGAGAGTCAGCTTCCAGGCCTCTTCAAAAAACCATACTTCAAGCTTATCCTTAAGTCGTAAAGGTCAGGGAGAGATCATCTCTATGCCTTTTCCTCTGGCAATGCCAGCTCTGCCCCAAGTCGTCTTATTTTTACATTCTCCAACAATTCTATGCAAGGTCCTCATTCTGAGTTCTATTTTGGGCCTCTATTTATTTATTCTTTTTTAGCCCATAATTGTTAAGCTTTTACTATGCACCAAGGGCCTAGTATATAAAAAATTTTTTTAACTTTCAAATAGGTCATGGTCTATTGGGAGAAGTAAACTTATAAACAGCTACAGGGAGATATACATTTAAAAAAAATGTATGTTGCCCTGGCCGGTGTGGCTCAGTTGGTTGGGCATCGCTCTATGCTAGCGGTGTCGAACTCAATCAGAGAAGGGGCCAAAATCTAAAATCCAGCCTAAATCGCGGGCCGAATGGTTTACTGAACAGTCATAAACTGTCATTGTGATGGAAACGCAGCGGAGTGCAGTGATGACAGCGTGGTGCGGGCCACATTGCAAGGCCTGGTGGGACGGATTTGGACTGCGGGCCTTGTGTTTGACACATGTGCTCTATGCAAACAAGAAGTTACTGGTTCGATTCCTGACCAGGGCACATGTCCAGGTGTGGACTCCATCCCCTATAGTGGGAGGGCAGGAGGCAACCAGTCGATGTTTCACTCTCACATCAATGTTTCTCTCTCTGTCTCTCTCAATTTCTCGCTAAAATCAATTGAAAAACAACAACAATAAAAAAATCTACTTATGTTGGGAGAGGGTTTAGATTGTGAAGGAGACATCGTTTGTGGGTGGTGGGGACAATGGACTGAGAGACCAGTGAAGGCTTCCTAGGCAAGGTAATCTGAGAACAGTCTCAAAGTAACGTGCAGCTTCCTTTTGCTAGGAGGGGTGAGCGAAGCTCTTCTGACTGAAGGCCACAGGACATGTAAAGCCCTGCTGTGTAAAATGACAAGGATTTTGGAGGGTGGGGGAGTGATTGATGATTCTGTTTTGGCCATAGAAGTCTGAGCTGGTGATGAGACAGCCTCTGATGCCGACCAGGCAGGTTTCCTAGCAAAGAGTCCTCCTTCTGCTCTGACTGGGACCATCCTCCCTTCCCCCCTTAACTAATTCTTTCAACTCTGGGGAGCCCAAACTTCTGATTCCACCGTCCCAGACATGCCTGTTTATGATGGTCCTGCCTATTCCAATCACCTTAATACTCTTTGCAAAACTATATTTTCCAAACAACTGTGATTTCATTAGTTGGGTGTTTCATTTGTAAACCCCAATCAGCTAATAGCTAATAAATGCTCCTTCTGTGTAAAGAGCTGCACAAATTAGAAATAAACTTTGCATTTGGGTTGAGATATTTTTTTCTCACAATGGCTTAAATTTTAAGATATTCGACTTGTGGCTTTTGTGTCTTTTTATAGCATTTTATATCTTTTTAGTACTAAGACTACAGAGAAATGCCTCCTTTGGGAATAGGCCAGTGGTTTTAAAAAAGGACAGTAAGTCATGGCTGGGGCAGTGTAGCTGGAGAGCCTAAAACTCTGCACACACTTTCATGCCCATTTCAGTCTCACCCTTCTTCCTCTGCCCTCATGCCGTTAGCCAGGCCATCACACCCATCCATCAATAAAAATGAACATGAGACTTCACAGGCTCTTCTATGTATGGTTTTCGAATCCTGGTCAGGACCTTTTTTTTTTTTTTTTGCGGGGGAGATGGGAGAGGTCTGGCCTTAGATCTTACCTTGAACTCTAAAAAGATCTAGTACTTCTGCTTCCCACACTTGGCATTCCTAATCATATAATTTGCCCTCCGTATCACGCTTTCTCCTTCCTTGCTACCCCAGAAATCATCTGCTTGGCCAAGTCTTTTTCCTTGCGATACTGTGGCTGACATGACATCACCCCTGCCGGACCCTCCTACCTCTCTACACAAGAGGAATCAGGCCAGACCTACACTTGTTTCTGGAGGCAATCTTAGCTATCCAGGTTGTAGGTGGTCCTCTATACGGGTTGTCCCAAATACATAGTGGGTGGATGGTTATTTACATCATCAGCATTTCTCAAACATTAGCATGCATCTGAATCTCCCAGAGACCTAGTGAAAACCTAGATCCCTGGCTTCTTCCTCAAATGGCTGTTTTGGTTGCTCTAGGCTGGGACCTGAGTGCATGCATTTCTTATAAACATCCAGGTGATGCTGTGGCTGTTGATCTGTGGACCATACTCTGAGTAACACTTGGAGTCACTGTATGATCTAGCTCAATGGTTCTGATGGGGAGGTAAAGAGCAATGATGAATCAGAATAATCTAGAAAGGGTTTTGAAAATGTGCATGCTATGGCAGCCCTCCTACATATTTTGGTTACGGTGTATTTCCTAAGAGTGGCCTGCAAAAGAGATCTGGATTATAGACAAAATAATTCTTCTTACTCTCTGTCTTACATGGTATAACTGTAGCAGGTGGGGAATTGTTGGGAAAGAGAATATCTGTGCTCACTACATTCAAATGCTGCTGGGGTCACAGATAGTGTAGAGCATTCGGCTGGTCCAGGGGTTTGTAGGATCCAGAGCAGAGTGAAGAGAGAACAAAATTTAAGGGAGTGGCGAAAACCTCAGTAATTGATATAATTAATATTTAATGCAATATTTTTTTCTGATAAGATTTTTTTCTTTTCTTTTTAAAAATTTATCTTTATTGTAGAAAATATTATAGATGGCCCCCCTTTTGCCTCCATTGTCTACCCCTGACTTCCCTCTGAAATTTGTCAGTCTGTTCCATGCTTCTATGTCTCTGGGTCTATTTTATACATCAGTTTATTTGGTTCATTAGATTTCACATATTTGTGAGATCATGCGATACTTATCTTTCTCTGACAGGCTTATTTCACATTATGTTAATGCAATATTTCTAAAAATTAAAGTTAATGCAAAAAGTCTTTGATGAATAAAATATCAAAGATTTAAAGACA